TATCTGTGTTTCGTAACATATAATTATATTTTTGGTGACATGTTCCGCATCAATAATTCATTTATTCACTTGGTTCTTTCATGTAAATAATAACCAAACATTTTATTTCATATAATATAATCAAGTAAAAATATTTTTAATAACCCTTATGTGTGTTTGATAACTTGACAAAAGTATGTTAACAAACCATCAACTTATTCTAAGTGGAGAACTCGTGGTGGGTTGTCTGACAACAATCTCCTCTTTAGCTCTGAAGTCATTAACAAGTTCTGACGTCATCTGTGTCTCTCTTCCGCACAGACGAGGACGATGGGTCGTGTGGCGTTTAGATTCCCCAAATAAATCTCAAGATTCAGCGGCTGTAAGATGATCTTGGTGTCAAGAGCATTTGGGTGAAACTTAGCCCTCGTTTGTTTTACTGACATCTTCTACAGCGAAAGCGCAAAATCTCTGATAAGCCTCGACCGTCTTGTTCCGTTAATCTCCTTCATCTGTGTCTGTGTTCGGACAGCGTGTAGCCGGCCAGTCAGGGACTCTCCTGACGGCATAACCCCAATCCCCTCTGAGTGCTCAAAGCCTCCTACTTCATTAGAAACATCTGCTTGTTTATTTCCCCCTGCGTCTTTGTGTACGCTGGTGTCTGCCAGGTAGTCTCTCACTCTCTCCTCCTCCTCCTCCTCCTCCTCATGTGTGGGAGCTGCTGATGAAGGCAGCTGAACCACGATGCTCAGGTTGACTGTGTGGAGCTGTCTGTCACTCCAGCAGGTTAATCATCTGTTTTTCTTTTGTTTTTGCATCAGACACAAAAGCTCATCTCGTTGCCAGTTACACCCTGGTGAGTGTGTGAGTGTGTTTATGTGATGAGAAGGGGACTATAAACAGGATTAATGTCATCAGGGTCTAAGCCTCAACAGATTGACCAAAACAAAGTCCTGTTGGATAATAAGTGGTCAGTTTGGCCGCACGTTAAAAATGTATATTACAGCAGGATTTTTGTGTGACAGGCACTTTTGGACATCGTGTCGAGTTACGACTTCTTGAATACAACTAATACAGGAGATTGTCTGTCCAGTGTTCTTTCAAAATGTTTGTGATGTTCCAGACTTTTATCTTAACTTCTCCCAAATAATTTTTTCATGTTCAAGGTTTCAGTTTCAGGTTCCCCGCAGGTCCAATACGTGATGTAACCCTCGGTTCAAACATTGATTTACGATCAGTTTGGAAAGTTTATGAGAATGAGTTTCAGAAAGTGACTCACTCCTTCTACTACCCCTGGTTGAGTCAAGTTCAGTTAGAAAGAAATTCATTCTTACTTTATTTAATTTGATATTCCGCCCGTTTGCCGGCCTTTTACACACATGAAGGACAATGGAAGAAGCTGTGTGTACAGTTTTTAAAGATTTAAGATTAAAAAACTACTGAACGAATTCCCATGAAAGTTGGTAGGATGCTGAAAGAATCCATAAATTCTGGTGCGAATCTGAAAAAGGGGGCAGATTCTTGATTTCTTTTGTTTTTTTTGACATAATCACAATCTCCCAGGGAATAATGAATGTATCTTGATGAGGAATATCAGGCGTGTTTAGAGACTGATTATGAGAAATTTGGTGCAGTTTGATTGAATTTAAAGAAAACTGTTGAGTCTTTTTTCTTCTGTGCAATTATTTTTCTTCCACAAATAATTGCACAGTAATATGTGATATTACTGCATTTAAATTTGTTAAATTATGTAAAATCACTCATCATGCAGAGTCCTTAATTCTTAAAGTGAATCCTTAGAGACCTGACGCAGAAGCTGCTTTTTAATTTTCTCATCTGTGTAACTTTCTGTCACTAATCCCAATATTAAAATATCCCTGATATGATGAATAATAACCAGTGATTGTTGCCCCTGCTGGGACGCTGGAGGCTTGTTGATCACAGATCATTGTAACGTGACCTGTTTACACAGATTACTCTTAGAAATAATCAAATAAAATGTGTGTCAAGGAAAATTCTTGTTATTTTTCATCTTAATCTCATCAGTATGGATTTCTTCAGATTGTACATAGATTAATAACTTGCCTCCACGTTCAGAATCCTCCAGCAGAGTATAGACACTCTGCAAGTTACTCTTTCTAGTGTTGACTGATTATTTATACTCTTGATCTTTAAAATGAGCAAAGGAAATGTTCATCACAACTTTACACATCTTAAAGATGATGTCTAAAAACAATATGATTAAATCAGGTTAAAGCAAAAAAAGATATATGAGCATTAAAAATTGTCTAGGAGGAAATGTGTGGGATAGGGAATGTTTTGTT